GAAGGCTCCTATGGAAACTGCAGGTGATGTTTGACAAGATGAAGCGTAGAAAGTGGTAGCAGTAGTACAACAGTAGTCACATAATGAAATATGACAAGCTCTTGTATGACAAACATCTGCTAATTCTGCAGTTAGAGCTTGACAGCTTAACCAAGCGCTGTCAATGCCTACAGTTTTTTTTTGGTGAAGCCAGGTAATTATCTTGTGCAAATTGTCTATTCTGTGTTTTCATTCTAGTATCTTCATAAGAGACCATGAGTGGAGCAGTCAGAATAAACAATGCTAGGGAAAGAGTGATTTCTTTCACTTACATTTTGGCATTATAACCTTTGATTTAAGTTTTACTGTTGCTGCAAGTATTACATAAAGCTCTTCATCCATCCATTCTTCCTCTTATCTGGAGGCGGGTTGCAGTGGCAGCAGGCTAAGCAGGGCATTCCAGACATGACTCTCCCCCAGCGACACTTTCCACTTCCTCCTGGAGGCTCCGAGGGCATTCTCAGGCCAGATGAGAGATGTCATTTCTCTAGCAAGTTCTGGGTCTACCCCAGGGTCTCATCCCAGCTCTGCATGCTGGGAAAACTTCCAAAGGAAGGCGTCCCGGAAGACATCCTAATCAGATACCCAAACCACCTCAGCCGGCTTCACGACGGAGCAGCAGCTGTTCTCAGAGCTGCTCCCGGATGTCTAAGCTCCTCCTCGTCCTATCTCAAAGGCTGAGCCCAGCCACCCTTCAGGGGAAACCGCATTTTGATTGCTGGCATCGGTGATCTCATTCTGTCGGTCGATACCCAGAGCTCATAACCATTGATGAGAGTTTGGATGTAGATTGATTAGTAAATGGAGAGCTTCCGGCAACACCTGCATTATTGCTGATGCTGCACTTGTGACCAAGATCCTGAGGTACATAAACTCCTTCACCACGAGCAGCAACTCATCCCAACCAAAAGGGAGCAATTCACCAGTTTCTGGCAGAAAACCACGGCCTCAGACTTAGAGGTGCGTGAAAGCCTCTTATCTACATTTAAAGTCAAGGTTGGTGGAGCTTTACTGTTTCCTGTCTGTAGGTTTCTTAAACGTGCCAGTTGCTTCTCCTCAGTGATTCAAAAACACAGACTGTGTACAGTTAGGACGAAGGCTCTAGTTGGTTGCTGTAGACCCTTCAATCAACATTTCTCTAGCAGCAAAGTATATTTGCAGCTTAAACAGCATCCAGTGACCATAACAAGTGCTGCACATAAAGGAAAGCTGTTGTGAACTCAAGTGTTTTCATGAAGTGGTCTTGGGGTTATCCAGTAAGAGTGCAGGTGAAAAGGTGGTACAGGGAAAGCTAAGAAAAGAAACGGCTGGACAAATCTCCTTCGCTTCAGCCCTTTTTTCATGATTGGATTGTTCTGGTATTTGCTCAGGCCAGCATATTTTTCACTTTAATGTGAGGGCTAAACACGACTCATGTGCTGGAGCGCCTGGATGACACGTCCACAGACGAACGTCTTGGATGCTCAAGTGTCTCGGCTTCTGTGTTGTTAAATCCATAAACAAACTGCCAAGTCCTGGCTTCTTATACAGTAACTGTATCAAGGAAAGCCAATTCATTACCCTGTAAAAATATATTATTAAACACAGAGTTTGAAGGATAGTCTTTGAATGACCGTGTCCTCCATGTAAAACTAGTCCTGTGCAAATTGGGTCTGATAAGCATGACCAGCAGATTTGGTCTTCCACTTTACCTCCCAATATTTTATCTATTATCTGTTTAGATTAGGTTTTCAGACAGCCTACGTCCTCATTGTGGTATGTTATATAACTGCTGCACCATGGAGACGGGCTGATAGCTGGACTAAGCCCAGAAGGTTTCAATTTAAAGCCCAGCCACACTTTAAACTGAACTTGCACCCTGTTGAAGAGGAAGGATGTTGTTTCAAGGAGGAGGTGGAGAAAAGGAGAGAGGGAGTGACTGGAAGAGTATGTGATACAGTGTGTGAGACATACAGAGGAGTAGTAAGGGTCTGGATTGGAGCTTTTCTTAGCATTAAAAAAAAAGGGTAATTAAAATATGTTGCCATCATCAGAGTTGTGTTGGAGTGCAAACCAGGCACGCATGTTAGAAATATGTGTGAATCTGTCATAATGGCAACAATTCAAAAAGATCCTTTCCAGATTATTAGCTGATTGGTGCAAAACTAACCCAGGAGGGCTTTTCACACAACTGAAAATGTACTTAGTCACATGAAAAGGGAAAAAAAAAAAAAAAAAAGCAGCACATATATTTACAGTCGCACACAAACACACGCTCAGACATACACACTTGTTCCGCAGCCCAGAATGTCATCATCTCAGTCAAGCGTTCAAATCTGATTTAGGGCCTTTTAGAAAAGCAATCAGAAAAGAGAGCTTTAGTGGAACACAGACGATGAAATCAGGACTCATTTTATTCATTTTCATAACTCGCCCACAGAAAGTCATCGGAGCAAAGTCATGTGTCCGTTCGGTTCGGGGAATGTTAACTACATCCTGTGATTTCCGTTTTTTCACTCCTCTTACTGCACAGCTAGATGAGTTCACGCGAGTGCACGCTGTGATTTCACTTGGAAATGTTAGTGTGTAAGCAGGTTACCTTTGTAGTAGATTCAGATCAGGAGTTACTCAGAAGCTCATTTGACTAATGAACTGTTGTTTGCTTCTTTTTTATGCAAGACTTTCGTTTGTTGGCCTCAGTGGTTTGTATCATATATTGAACTTAAGCCAGACTCTTAATCCGTTATGTCTTAATGCTGTTTTACACAAACTTGCTTTTGTTCAAATGAGCTCATTTGCAGACCAAACAACTGGACTGACTGACAAAGCTCCGTTCCATGTGAAGCTCAGTGTAATTTGTTTATACTGTGGAGGATGTGATTAAATCTGTCAAATAAGTAATCCTATAAGCGAATGTATAAGAAACATAAACATTTTGGCAAGATTATTTGGCAATATGTGTGCATGGCTGGTCATTTATCGTGGATCAATTACACTAGAGTGGAGTAAAACAGGCATGTTTATGGTTCTTTATGGTTAGTCATCAAACAGGAAGTCACAAACATCCACCGCTTCACGTTTCAACATGCTCGTAATTAATAACCAGGGATGAAAATAATGATCATTTCATCATCACTTAATCTGCCTGTTGTTTTATCAATTAACTGATTAATCATTTCCTCCATTCAGCGTTAGATAATAGTGAAATACACTAATTAGAATTTCCCGTCGCCCAAAGATCTCGAAGCACGGCAGCAAATCTTCACATTCCAGAAGCTAAAACAAAAGGTTGTTTGGCATCTTTAGAAAAAAAGGCTTGAATCAATTAACACTTTTTTTTTTTTTTTGCAGATTAATTATCTCCCAAATAGCTAATCCATTGATTGACTAATCACTTCTGCTTTGTTCTTAACAAAGGGTCCAGTTACAACCTCAATTGGTCAAGTTTATTATCAGTGTTTATCTTTGCTCTTTTTTTTTTTGACACCAGAGGACGTAACTATAAAACACGACCCGCTGTTAGTTTCCAGAATTGTTAAAATAGGAGTTCAGCATTTTTAGGAAATCTGATTGTTTGGCTTCTGGTGGAGAGTTAAATGAGAAGACGGTGCTCTCATTTCTGACTGTGAAATATACTCAGTAGATGCTTACTGCTGGTTCCAGATTCATACCCGCAGTACAAATATGTGGGTGGTGCAAGTCTTCATAAACTCCACCAGGCAGTCGGGCCGTTTTCCAACTTTTTCTTTCTTGTCTTAAAAAGCTTTGGTGAAAATCGAGTTTTCACCAAAAGCCATGTCTTTTTTTTAAATGCTAGAGACATACAGTCGTCTTCAAATGTATTCATACCCTCACATTAAAGAAGGAAAGAAACAGCTGTCACTGAAATAAGTTGAAATTGATAATAAATATTAAATTAATGAAAATCATGACATTGCTGTTGATACGTGGTTCAACAGAAATATATATATAAAAAACAAGCAAACAAGCATGATGGGACCCATAAACTAATATTTCATTGAACAACCCTTTGAGCCAATCACTGCCATCAGGTGTTTCCTTAACTCTCAGTCAGACTTCTGCACCTGTTGACAGGTATTTGGATTTCACTGCTCATCAGCAAAGTGCTCTCATTTGTCCGGGACTACGGAAGCCGAGAGCAGTCATGGCCGCACATTTTTTAAAACGGCGTTCGTTTTCCCGAGATAACGAGATAATTATCCTGTTGACAGTTTCGGCTGTCACTTCAGCCTTCATCAGAAGTTGTCAGACTTCCTGGTGTGACGTATCGTATATAGACAGCTGACCGGGAACTCCGACATGATGTGTCATGAGAACAGCTGACTGGGCACGACAACTTACAATGAAGCGCTCGTGCCCGGTCTCGTCTGTCCTCCGGCCCCCCCGCTGGTGACTGAGGATGGAATCCCAGGTGTGTGGGAGGTCCCCATCCTGGACCGGGCACGAGCGGGCAAACACAAACACCAATTATCTCGTTTTCACGAGAAAGCGATTCTCGTTATCCCGAGATAACGAGAAAAGTAACTCGTTATCTCGAGAAAAGAAAGAACAGTAGCGGAAAACGACCGCTCTCGGCTTCCGTACGGGACAGTTTTGGTTTTTTTTTGGTTTTTTTAATTACTCTTTTCACCCACAATTCAAAAGCAATGTCTTATTTCACTAAATTATAATTTAGCACATTTTTTATTTATTATCACTTTTTCCAGTTTCTAGTTATTTAAGTGACTATTGTGATTTTTTTTCCTTTTCTTTAATGGAAGAGTATGAATAGATTTGAGCACGACTGTATGAATAAAACAAGCAGTTAGCACCCTGGCTGAGCATCCCCTCTTCTCAAAAATGCATATTCACATCAGCAAGGTTTTTTAGGTCACAAAACGAAGGAACCAATCCCATCGATCTGCAGCATTCTTGGAACACATATGACTGATTTTTTTTCTGTACTGCAACTTGCTGTGTAGTCTTAGAGTGCTACAGGTGAGCTGGTGTGCTTAGGCTGCACTGAGTTGGGAGGTGGCTTCATAGAGCCGCACATTCTGAAGAAAGCAAAAGAATTACATGGAAGCCATTTTTTCCATTGGACAAAAAAACAAAGCTTCTATAAAAGTAACTTTGATACAGAGAAGAGTTTTTAGGGGTTGAATCAATGACCGGAGAAGAAACTTTAAAATTCTTGATGTGATTTCTATCAGACATGAGACTGGTATCTGTATCTGTCTAACTCAGAAAGACATGTCAGTAAAAATATAACCAAGGTTAGGCTGTATAAATAAAACATATCCTTATCTTTGGCCAGATATTTCACTCGCTTGTAGTGTGAATGTCTCTGTGGTCATTAGGTTTCAAGACAACAGCTATGACAATATTGTCTTTTTTTTTATTGGGCAGCTGGGCGAGCACTCACAATATGCCATTATTATCATATATAGCACAAGATATAATTACATTTTTCTCCTATCTCAACCATAAAGGTTTATGTGTTAGTGAGAAGTAAAATAAAAATAGTGCATTTAGACGGACAACTTTTTGCTGCCAGTGTTCAGTAGCCTAGAATGTATCGCAGTCACAAGTTATATTCACATTTTCTCCCCTCTGGTTGTCTCTCTCACAACCACTGCTGCTGTTTCTACCTTGATGTGCGAACCACAGCTGAACCGATTAGAGCAGGGAATACCCAGACCGGGCCCTCCTGCGTTAACGTGGGCTCCAGTTCCTCTCTCCGCACTCCAAACACATCCATGTCGGGTAGCTAAACCTTGATTTCAAGGCCGGGCCGATGCGAGTGCGCCTCAGCGTTTGGTTGCTGGGAAGGTTGTTTCACTGAATAGTAAAATACATGCTGGCAAAGGCTGGAGCCTAATATAACTGTACAAGTAGTAAGCATAATGAGACAGAGAGGGGATGGGGAAACGGAGGGAGAGGCAGGCAGAATGAAGGCATTTAATTTTCCTTGAATAAGTAGTTCCCTCACACTGTCTTGAGAAGCGTTTTTTGTGGGATTACAGCTTGTGCACATCAGAGCCACTCAGCTACTAATCATCTTTACTCTGAAAGATTTCAGTTTATTGTCCAGCCTGTCATTCCTGCTTTTTATTGTCATACATTTGTGGAGCGTTGTTCTCTAAGTCGCATTTAAAAAGTTATATACAGTGCCGTCAGCACACGCTGATTAATTAGCTCATAAATAAACGGCATTAGCTTTTGAAGAACGCACAAGAAGCAAAAGTGTATATTTGACTACAACTGGATTGTGTTTGGAAATGAAACAGTTGGCATTTCTCAAGGATGTAGTATTTCTATGGTGATTATGCACGTTGCTTAGCAATCTCCGCCGGCTTTTCTCCTTCTTCTTCTTTTTTTCATAAAGACTAAAATCCTCAAGATTAGTTGCCTTGGCAAATGGCCTCTTTTGGCTCTTTGTCACTGTTTCACCATCCTTTGTTTAATCAGGCATTTTCCATTGAGATAGGAATCGCTGTGACAAAGTAGGAAAGATAAGCATGAGTAATGATCATCTTAAGTCGCAGCCAACATTTTAAGCTACTGCATACTCATATACGCATAAGGGTCTCTTGAATGAATTACACTCTGTGAAGCACACAAGTACAATCTTTGCACTCGACTGACTGCAGAATCCTTGAGACGTTGCCCTAACCTTAGCCCTCGCTGCTGTTTGACTAACTTTAATCCGTAGCCTAATCCAACAATAATCCAAAGCACCCTAAAAACCCAAGTCTTAACATTACAGTAATCCTAAAACTACATTTCACCCCTAAAAGTAAGGCCATATTCTAATGCAGCAGCTCGAGCGAAGGACATCTGAAGCTCACGGGCAGGAATTCACCAACATAAATGTCCCACCGACACATAATCCAAAAACGAGACACTCATAGTTTTCACGCCTCTGATTCTCCTCCTCCTCCAGCGAGGTCATCCTCTCCAACATCGACGTGGGCATCGCTGGCATCTGGGAGTGTCTGGTGACCAGTTCCCGTGGCAACACTTCTCAGCAAATGGAAATAGTCGTTCTGGAGACTTCAGCGCCATACTGCCCCGCCGACAGAGTCACCAACAACAAGGGGGACTTCAGGTGAGTCACGTCTCAGCGGCCACGCAACGTATGGCACTGTACACTCACTCCTTTAGCTGCAAACACATGGAATAAAGAGGATGTATAAAGATCAGTTTGACGTTTTGGGAATATAATCATTCACTTGTTGAGCGTGGTATGAAAAGAATGGTGCCTGTTAAGGACGGTATATTGTAGATACGTCTACTCAGGAAACTTGGATGGCTTCTTCGTCTACAGTGGACTCCGGTCAGAGAGTGACATGGAACCGGGATATCTTTAATATTGAACAGTCATATGGTTTCTGAAATAATAATCAGAGCAATACACCAAATGTGTCAGTAAACTGAAACACAGAATGAAGTGCCTTAACTTAATGTCACATAATCGTCTAAACTTTCAATTAATAGCATTTACAGGAGTGTGATAACTTCAGAGACAACCGTACCAACTTAGCTACATAATTATAATGCTTAGAAACCTTCAGAACAGCCCATTAAGTTGCCATGGTGATGGCATGGATGCAGCGGCCCCCTCAGGAGAAAACGAAAGTGAACGTTTTGAGTGTCTTGTCTATCAGATGTTGGGTGCTGGGCGTCAGGACAGTGACCGGCGCTCGGTTGTGATTTGAACATACTACACCAACATGGAGTCCGATCGGAGACGACGCCGGCAGTTATCTGAGAGAGAAGGAAGCACAAACGGTACGAACATGAACAAAGGAAGAGAGCCGGGATCCATGCTAAGCTAAAGGCTAACCCCTCCAGACCAGCAGGACCGTTGCTCCTACTCTCCGATGTCTGTTTCCTCGACAACAAGCTGGACGAGCTGCGTTTTCTGAGAGAAACCCACAGAGAGTGGAAAGACTGCTGTGTGTTTGCTTTAACAGAAACATGGCTCCATGACAACATCCTAGACGGACATACAGCTGGAGGGGATGCAGACTGACAGACAGCTAGCTCTGGGCAGCATCGGCGGCTTCACCATCGTCCCACCATCGTGTGTGTCTTTGTGTCCCTGAAGACCTACCAGGACCTGAAGAGGTTCACCATGTTCAACGTGATGGTGGCATGCATGGACACAGCGCCCCCTTCAGGAGACAGCGAGAGTGAACGTTTAGTGTCTTGCCTATCCCAGACGTTCATTCTGCAAAACTTACTAATTAAATGATCCTGAAGAAACACTCTCTCATCTTGCCTGCACTACTGTGTATGTACAGCAAAATGACAATAAACTTGATTTGATTTGATTTGATTAACATCTTACATTCAGAACAGCACTACTCTCACGTTTGTATGGTAAAGATTGTGTTAAATAGTTACAGTCAGCTTAGCGTCGCACAAAGACTGGAAATATATTTAACTTAGATCTGCTCAAAGGTCAGCCCCGTCTCCCAAAAAATGACTTTCCTATTCAACTAACTTGCAATTGATTACATTTGTTTGTGTCGTATCACAAATAAGTTTCAAATCAACATATCTTTGCTCTTTATTTTATTGTTCCGCTGTCGTTCCTTTTGTGCCAACAAGTCATATTTGAGGAGTTCATTGTGCTCGTAACCCAGAAAACGGAGAAGCTTCAAGCATGTAGTGAAAGGGTGTATGTGAACCCAAACCATGCTGTTTTTCTAAACCCAACCACACAGTTTTGGTGCCTAAATTTAACCAACTTCAAACATGTAGTTATCGTGGAGAAAGTGTCAACCGAAGTGTGTCATTTTCCTAAACCTGACCACACGGTTTTGGTGCCTAAATTTAACCTAACAGCAAGTGAAACTCAAGGGTGAGCTGCGAATGAAAACAAAGCTTCACTCTGAGAATAGTGGTTCCACATGGTATGTGAACCCCGTCATCTGGGTGAAAGTCTTGTTGCTTATGTCTCCATCCTCCTGGCCAACTCCTGATGTACAGTCGTCCTCACGTTTATTCATACCCTCCCATTAAAGAAGAAAAAAAAAAGGCTGTCACTGAAATAAGTTGAAATTGACAAAAGTAAGAATAAATAAAAATTTAATGAAAATCACGACATTGCTTTTGAATCGTGGTTCAACAGAAATATAAAAAAACAAACAATAAAAAAAAAGAAGAAAACCTAACAAGCATAATGGGACCTGTAAACTGATATTTTGTTGAACGGGACAGTTTTTTTATTATTATTATTATTCTTTTCAACCATAATTCAAAAGCAATGTCTTGTTTCACTAAATTCTAATTTAGCAAATTTTTATTTATTATTACTTTTTTTCAGTTTCTCGTTATTTGGTTGTGAATTTTGCCTTTTCTTTAATGGAAGGGGATGAATAAATAGACTCTGCTCTTTCAAACTGGAAGCCTTTCCTATCATGTCTTAACTTTCAATGAGAAGATATGCTTGTTACAAAATTAAATTACATTTTAAAACATAAATGAGAATACAGTTAAGTGGTATCAGAGTGTAACTTTGGGAAAGTGGTTCCCAAAATTAACAAAACCTACCAATGAACTCATTAATTTTAGTCGTAACTTGTTTGTTTAACCAGTAAAAAAAATCTAATCTTGAACTGGTTTTATGGGGGTCCACTGTAAAAAAGGGTAGCCCAAATAAAAGATATACACACTAAATTTGAGAAGAAAATGACTTAAAACTAGTGAAATTATCTGCCAATGCAGCAAGTAAATTTGACTTGATAAGAAATCTTGAAATAAGATTTTTAATGCTCAATTTAAGATTGTGCTGTAAAATCAAGGACTAAAAATGAGTAAATAACTTTTTAAAAAAGCCAAATTATCTAGCATGTCTAAAATCAAGATTTTAAATCTCGGCAAGTCCCAGATTGTTTGCAGTGTCAATGTTGCAATGAGTGTAGGACAAACCATTACATGGCAAAAATGACCTGGAAAAATAGGATGCCATTTTTTTTTTTTTTGCAGTTTCTAAAAAAGAAATAAAAAAGCAACAGTAACAAGGGATAAAGTTTAGTTTAGTATCTAGTATGGTGCTGCATTGTGCTGCCTTCCACTGCTTCTCTTCCAGTAATGCTCATTTACAGACATGCAGGTCAGGCCTGGCCTCCAAATTCAAGCTGACCAATCAGGTCAGAGATCTATGAGGAAGTTAACATTAACTAAAGGATTTTCTGAAGATTCTTTCAACCACAATGCCTCAATTTATATATGCATCATCAACACTGAACGTTAAAATCAACAAAACATTTGTGTTTCATTTAATATTTATCGTAATTATTTTGAATTTTGTCACACATCTATTGTCCAATCAAATTTGAGACCCCGCCTACTCATCCATCACATAAAGAGCAGGTGTTAAGGTGTGGCTTCTCTTTAGGCTAAGATGGCTTCCACAAGGGATGAACTCTCAACAGGTGATGGCTTTTAAAACTGAGTCTCCTTTTAATATGCTTGTTTTAATTAACAGATAAATGTAACGCTGACAAGAAGTACAATTCCCTCTGTAGCCACTACAGCTGTAGCGTTTCATTGGCTACAGACAGTGACACCAGGCTTTAAGTTAGGCTCAGCTTGCTGCATGTTGTAGCTTTGCATCCATGCAGACATGAGTGGTGTCAGTATCGACCTTTCTAACTCACAAAGAACATTTCACAAACATTCTTTCACTGAAGAGCTTTTCTTGCATCCGTTTCAAAAAAAGAAGAAAAACAAGGTTGTATAAATAAACCGTGTCCTTGAATTCTAAGTGCACTTTTATTTACCAGCTTGTTCAGCGTAATTGGTGATAATGGACAGTAATCACTGGTTTTCAAAGGTGATGCTGGTGGGTCTCCTGCAAAATAAGGCGATAGTTTAGCCTCGCTCTAATTAATTCACCAGAAATATTGCCAATTGCAGAGTAGACTGGATCAAAGTTAATACTGTAATCACAGCGCGCTCTGTTATTATCTCCCCGTATGCAGTTGAGCTACTTCTTGCTGGTGTTGCGCCGCCTTCTGCTCCACCTGACACCTGGTCTGACTTGCACCAGGTTTGGCTCATTAGGCATTAAAGAGCAGAAATGAGTATGTACAGTAGAGTGTGGACAGTTCATATATTTTAATAATTATTGGATATGTGCAACTCCTACACACATTATGGCTCAGCGTGGTCCGGCTTTATATCACCACTATAAAAAGGAGCGCGTTTGTTCGCATGGCTGAGGTTTGGGATAGAAAGAGGAAGAGCATCCACTCGCCGTCCATTTATTCTCCTTTCCTCTGTCCTCCACTCCGTTCGACCACCTTGAAACCTTGTAATTGTGCACACATTTACAGCCTGCACCTCTCCTCCCCCTTGGGTGTGCTGTTGTCGTGTTCGCTCCTTTGTAGCCGCTGTACATTACAGGCAACTTCCAGTACAGCAAGCACAGAGGCTTTGTTTCTGCTGGAGCATTGGAGTAATGGGCTGGAAAATGAGCCCCTTTTTTGTTGGGGGCGAAATTAACGCCATTTATTACTAAGTAGCTGCTGCTGCTGCAGCAACGCGGATAGAGAGGAGGGGAAAAGAGAGAATAGGGTGGGGAACAGAGGGATGGCAGGTCAGTACCCTCAGAACAGATTACTAGCCTCCTGAGTGCTTTGCTCCTTTATTTTAATTTAGATGAAGTCAAAACTGTTTCCACATTAAGCATTACTTCAGCTTCTTTTCTGCAGCAGGATTTTGATGTTGAGCAAAAAAAAAAAAACCCAGAAACTGATATGTTTCTCCTTGGATTGTAGACAAATTGATCTATATATATGAGCAGAAGCAAAGAAATGAGACCTTTAAATGACAAAAGTGCAGAGAAACCAAACCTGTAGTTCTTTTATTGTCTGAGAGATGGAAGCTGACGCCGTGGACTATGAATGTTTGGCTGACTTTTCACACTCAAATGAGCTTTATTTTATTGAAACACTAACAGGCATTACCCAGAAAATGAAAAAAATCCATTTGCCTGTAAAATCACCCTGGCCCCTATCACAGGTTGGTCAGCAGAGCAGCTCCAGGACTTGGTCCTTGATGACATTATTGAGAAAGTCTCATTTCTTGCTTCAGAGGAGACTCCAGTGACTTTGCGTGGCCATAAGAAGAACACTTAGGCTGAATTTCCCCTTTAGGACGAACGGGCGGCATCAGATTTCTGCCTCAAGTGTACATCCTTTCCTGACATTTTCCATCTTCCACCGTGGTGCACGTTAAAGAGGTGATTCGGTATGGCTCTTTCATAAAGTTGTGGAACTTTCCGTCGACTGATTGAAGCAGCAGAGGTCTGACTTGAAGGCCCTGGTGTGGGTCATTCTAGACTCAACAAAAACACTGAATCCTACCTTCCAGTGCTAGTGTGAGATTACTGGATGTCCCCACGCCTGAGAAATGGTTAAAAACATCCAACACACCTACGATGACATCATATTGGATGCTTATTGGAATCTGGAAATATTGATCGAAACTTACTTTATTATTGCCTTTATTACCATTGGACTGTTGTAATTCCTTGTTGCGGTCGTAAAGCCGCCGTCTCTTCAGCGCCTGCAGCTGATACAAAATGCTGCCGCTTGTCTTCTATCAGGAAAAAGAAAACACGATCACATCACACCAGTTGAGGCCTCGCTCCAGTGGCCTCCTGTCCATTTGAGGATTGATTTTAAGATCTTAGTGTTTGTTTTAAAATGAGATGGTGCCGCTTCATTGAGCTGACCTCCAGCGTCGTCGTACCGGGGTTAAGAGCGCAGAGATCGACCAACCAGATGCTCTTGGATGTTCAAAAATAGAGGTGATCGAGCTTTTACAGTGGCTGCTCCTAATCTCTGGATCAGTACGCCTTCACGTGTAGGAACTGCTCAGACTTAAGAAAGTAGCTGCCGAAGTCCTGCCTCTTGCCTTTGCTATCTGATCCAAGGACAGCTTGAAACCCTTTTTTTTTTTTGTGTCGTTGCCATTGTTTCATTGCCTGCTGTGTTTTTTATTGTACAGCACTTTAACAGTTGTTGTTTTAATGTGCTTTCTGAATATATTTGACCTTGACCATGACATTGGACGGCTATTGCCACAGACTGGGTAATACTTTTGACCATCAATCTAAATGTGCAAAGTTGGCGGTGTGCCGCCTTTAGTGTATTCTGTCATTAAACCCAAAAAAAAATGTTTCGTTTCATTGTGCACAAAATGGAAAAACAATAAAGTTCATTAATAAAGTTGGCCAATAAAGTTAATTAAGTCAGATGCCATACAATCAAGTATCAGAATCTGGCAGTCTTCTGCAAAAATAATTAAACCTAGCTGTAAATCAATTATGCAAATGAATACTTTCCTAAATACAGGGAGTATGAAATTGCCATCTGGTGCAGGGAGAGTAGATTCCTCTTCTCCCTTCATTCCTGATATTTCTGAGATATTTTTTTTATTTTTTTTGTGGCAGGTGGCCAAAGACTCTGGCTGGCATCCTGGCCTTCCTGCCCTGCGCTCCTGCCACCTTTGGCTCTGCCCCTCACCCCTCCGGCAGCTCTCCTCACCCCTCCAGCCCGAGGGAGAAGAAGGCGTGGCGGCGCTGCGACCGGGCCGGACGTTGGGCTGAAGAGGACTACACTCAGTGCCCGTATGCCAGCGAACTGACCCGCGTGCTGCATGAGCTCACCCAGGTATCACGAGGAACCGGTGCTGACACACAGTGTGGATCCATTCACAGATTCTGAGCATTTATTTTTATTGTCAATAAATCAGTTTTAATTTGGCAAGTTTATTATGATGTGTGACATGTTGACTTCCACATATTCACCAACTGAGTCTAATTCAACAGCCAGATTTAATACCTTCACATTCCTAGAAAACAGAAACGCCTCCATTGATTCCGCTGTTGCCTGCAGGTGTTTCCAGATCTGTGCATGTACGCCTTTATATACATAACACAAACTGACTGACAACAAGCTGTTTCACTCTACAGCACTCGTGGGACCACTGCAGCACATTAAAGTAATGCCGTTCACGAAACTACATAGATGACATGAAACGGCATTACAATATTCGTTTTATTAGCCGTTTGATGTCACGTCTCTGTTGAGTTGTGCTGATGACTGTGTCATCATCCTCTCTGAATACCATTACCATATATTGCTTTTATTTCAGATCCCTATAAACGCCACCAACGCTCAGCCTTTAGGCCAGCAGTTAGTGGCCTTCACCAGCAGAGCGGCACACTTCACTGATGTCATGGACGTCATCTTCGTCACCCACTTGGTGGAGAGACTGACGAGGCTGGTGGAGAAACATAAAGACGTAAGAGGGAGCGCAGAGTTGCACCACAGCGAGTTTACTTAACCCTGACATACTGGGAAGAATTCCTGTCAAGAATTCCCTCATAGTA